CACGACGCGTGCTCACTGCTCCTTCCAGGTCTTGGTGGTTTGGCCACAGATTCTGTCTTGGAAGTGCTTGTTGTGGAACTCAGCAGCCTCTACCCTCCTACCAAATTCTAGCAAGCTGTCTTTGCCCTTTTCTTGGAAAGCTGGAATCCTTTATTTTCTGATGCATTTATTTGTTAGGTGTATAAAGTTTTTAAAAGCTATGTTTGTTGGTGCTTTTGCTAGTGTGCAGTTTGCAAAGTTGGATAGGTTTGGAATGGTCTGCCCCAACCCTATTTTTTCCATAAATTGTTATTTTTAGTGCATGAGTTTGGGAATGAAAAAGTGTTCAGGAGCACATTTATCCTGTTATGGCAGAAATGCCTGCATGCTTCTTCCCACTTGTAACCATGGAGAAATTATTCACGCTGTTATCACCTCCTCCTGTGGACTCATCCCCTTATTCAAGGACATGGCTCTGGTGTTTATCTCCCTTTTCCTATAGCTCATCAGCTTTTTGCTTTTCCTGCAACATTCTCTTCAACATAAAAAAAAAAAACATGCTGCTATTTCTCCCATCTTAAGAAAAAGTCATTCCCTCGACTCCATGTCCCCTGCCACAACCTGCTACCTCCATTCTTTGCTTCCTTTTCAACAAAACTAGTTGAAAGGGTTGCCTGTACTCACTGCCTCTGGCTCTTTTCCCCTTTTCTCTGAAGCCCAACCCAGTGTGGTTCTGCTGCTTCTCCACGCCATCAAAATTCCCATTGTCAAGGTCACCCATGACCTCCTCATTGCTAAATCCAACGGTCAGTTTCCAGTCCTTCTCTTACTAGGCTGGTTAGCAGCGTTTAATAGTTGGTCACTCCCTGCACCATATTCTTTGTTCATTTGCCTCCCAGGCCACCGCTCTTGTTTTCTTCGTGCCTCACTGGTTGTTCCCTTCTCAGTCTCCCTTGCAGATCCCTCTTCTGTTGGAGGAACCTAGGGCTTGGCCCGGGTCCTCTTCCCTGTTTTCCTCCACTCCATCCTTTGGTGATCCCATCCAGTTTCATGGCACCTTTACGTGGCAAATCCCCAAACTCCTGTCTCCAGGACAGACGTCTGGCTTAAACTGCAGACTATATATTCAACTGCCTACTCTGCACCTGCACTTGGATGTTTAATGCCCATCTCAAACTGAGCAAGTCTGAAGCTAAACTTCTGGTATTTCCCACCAAGCCCGGCCCTCCGCTAGTCTTTCCTTGATCAGTTGACTAGGAAACTCCACTGTTTCAGGTGCTCGGCCAGAAAGCTTATAGTCCTTCCTGCCTCTTCTCCACAGATCACGCCACACATCGAACACATCAGCAGATCCTGCTGATTCTACTTGCAAAATATACCCAGACTCCAGCTGCCTCTTATCACCTCTACTGCTACTGCCCTGGGGCAAGATGATTGCAAAAAACTGGATTATTGCAAAAAACTCCCAACTGGCCTCTTTGCTTCCCACCTTGCCTCCCTCCAATTGATTCACAACACAGTGGTCACAGTGATCCTGTGAAATGTATGTTAGATTGCGACTTGTTCAAAACTCTACAGTGGTTTTGAGTCAAAGCCTTCTAACAGTCTTCAAGGCCCTATGCGATCTAACCTGTCCCCCTTCCCCCCACCACTCACTTCCTCTTTAACCCCTCTTTCTCCCCTCCACTCACTCTACTCCAGCCACTGGTGTTTCTCTGCTGTTCCTCAAACACATCAGCCACCCTCTTGCCACAGGGCCTTTGCAATGGCTGTTCCATATGCCTGGACACTCTTCCATGCCCTTCACATATTTCCTCAAATCTCACATTCTCTATTAAGAATGCGGAAAAAAAAAAAAAAAAAAAATGCAAAACACTTGTGCCCATCCTCCTGTGCGCCCCTAATCACTGCACTGTGCCCCTAATCACTGCTCCCCCTGCAAGGCCCCTCATCTTTTAACCTATCAAATAAATTACCTGTTATGTCTATCATTTCTTATCTGTCTCCCCCACTAGATTTAAGTCCTATGAGGGCAGGGATCTGAACAGTGCCTTGGCAGATAGGAGGTTTGCAATAAATATTTACCGTATAAATATGTGATAGGCTACAGTCCCACTGGGCCCACTGTGAGGTGCTCCCAGGTAAAAATTCCACGTGTCACCTGTGCCGCACTCGCCCCACACTGACCAGTGGACCTTGACACTGGGCCTAGGTTACATGCCACACCCTAGCTGGAAAACAAGTTTTTGCTTCTATTTTGGAGAGGTGGGATTCACAAGGTGAGAATTTTCCCCAGTGTGGAAAGGTTGTTCAGACGGTACTAAAGCAGCCACAAAGCTAAGTCACTACATTGGGCTCTACTGAAAGAAACGAAATCATAGTTTTCATCAATTTCCTGTTTCTTTAAGTAGTGAACACAAGGAAGGCATTCAAATTAAATGAGAGTGAGGTGACAATTTATTAATACTTTCACAAAAAATACGATGTTTATCTTCCGTCATGTTGGAGGATATTGGCTTAATTCATATTATTATTCCCACTGATGTTTTACATAATGTGGGACATATAAAATGTACGGCAGATAAAAGTTATTTTCATTCCAACAGAGAAGAAAATGACAGGTTCAAAAAATCAAGTTTAATATCAAAAGAAGTTGATATCAAAACATAAAAGTTCCTACATTTCAAAAAATGTGACAGTGAAAATATTACTAAACTGGTGATGAGTGAGATATACTTTATGCTAAGCCTCTGAAACTTTTGCTTTGAAGTTGAATCTTCTGCTCATAAATAGTGCAAGCAGAGCAGACCTTCTCATATTCTGACAGAAGGCGAAGTTTAAGAGTCCTTTAGTTCAAATATCCATTAATTGTTCTTTGTCAGAAGCTCTTATTAAGAACAGGTGTCCAGCAGCCATGGCCCTGTCTTAGGGGAGTCTGTTTACTTGGAAGCCTCTGGCACTGTCAAGATTCCAGAGACAACCATCTTCGACTCTGTACAGCTGACGTATAAGGACTTGAACGTGGCTCACAGTAGCAAGGCCGCTATTGCCCAGGGGAGTGCGACTTCTTATATTTGTATATGAGCGCATCTGTTTTTCCAAGGCTAACTCTGTAGCATTCCACTGGCACCAAAGAGCCGAATGGTGGCATTCTGTCCAAGCACTCCTGGTTGCTGGCTGCAAATGAAGATGACGCTGGCTCTGGTACGGCAGCTTTTTCTTCAGGATTCAAGCACTCTGTGCTTCCAGGTTTATCTGTGCGGCTGCCCTTGGAATTCAGAGGGACGCTGCTCTCTTCACAACCTTTAAGGCGCCTGTGGTGATCTTTGCTAAGCAACAACACGATGGTCCCGCCAACACGAAGCACTCTGTGACCAAAAAAAATGGTAATTGGTGGGAGTATTTCCCCCTTTGTAGACAACACACAATCCCACTTTGTTTAAAATACTTGGTGTTTTTAATCTGAAATTTAATTTTATCTATTTAAATGCGAGGATTTTGATAATTAGGTGTTATCTTCCATAATGCATATTCATTATAGTAATTATGAAATCACCAGTACAAATCTGCTTTAATTATCTATTTTTACTCTATTTAAAAGGCAAGCCTCCAAGTAATGTGTAGTCACAGTTTAATAAATGATTGTACAAAGGAAAAGGCAAATGAAAGAATCCCGAGGAATTGGCGCACGTGAAAGGCAGCAGGCTGATGGCAGAAGAAAGTCACCAGGAAGGAGTGAGGACATGAACAAAGAAAGGGCAAAAGGGAAGATCAGAAAAAGAAGGGAAGACCTTGAAATGTCAGCTTGTGGAGAAGAATTCGCTTTCTCCATCAGCTGAGCAAGTCTGTATGGCACTTCTGTGGGAAAAGTGATAAAGGACATACTGGCCCCTGCGTTGCTAAAGAGAGGACTGAACAGTGGGAGAGAGGCAAGGGAAGAGTTAGAGTGAGGTGCTGTGGGAGCACCTTAGGTGGGGCCCACACCCAGCACTGAGGGTCGGGAAGATCCCCAGGGGATGAGAATACCTGCAGCGGGCGTGAAGGACCCGCAGGCGTGGGCTGGGCCGAGGGACAGGGCGGGACTAGAGCAAGGCGGGTGCTGGAGGCCGAGAAAGGAGCCAAGACGGGGAGCAGCGGAGAACAGGAGGCACTGGAAGTGCTTCAGCTCAAGGGCAGGTCACAGGGGGTGGGAGGAGGGCCAGGGCAAGAGTGCCGTTTGTGACGTGCCGAGCTTGGGGGCGGACGGGCAGCTGGACGTCCAGCCTTCAGGTGATGAGAAAGATGACCAGCGCTCGAGGTGGAGATTTCACAGTTTCCAGCAGTAAATGGCAGATGAAGCCATAATGGGGCACGAGATCACCTGCGGTGGCAGAACAGAGAGGAGAGACAAGGGGCCAAGGAACAGACTTAACATTCAAGGAAGGAGGAAGAGCCCATGAAACAGCCTGGGAGAAAGTCTGGACCACGGTGATGTCATGGAAGCCAGAAGAGTAGAGTTTCAAGAAAGGAATGAATAGTCTCAACAGTGTCAAATGCTACAGGACTAACAAGCGACGAGGGGATGAGAAGTTATTAGTGACTTAGTCGAGGGCAGGAGCCAATGCTGGTCTGCCGGAGTCAATGGGGGGCGGGAAGGTGGGGAAGCAGGGACGGCGAGCGTAGACTTCTCTTTGGAAGCTTGGCGCTGCAGTGGTTAAACACCCATGAACCCACGCCGCAGGCAGCAGAGTGAAGAGACTCATCACCCCCAAAGGCTTCCTCCGGCCTCTTGGAGCCTCTCCCGTCTCCCCCCCCCCCCCCCCCCCCCCCCCCCCCCCGCCTCGCCCAGCAAAGACTTCAGGAGCTTAAGCAGCTTTCCCTTATCTAAACAGTCAGCCCGTCTAGACGAGTACGCCTCAAAACGACATCACAGATTCATCCACTTCAGCCTACGCTCGTGCTTCTCCTGAACTAGCGCAACCCGACAGGCCTGGTTCCCATTCCTGTCACCATCTCCCCACCTCCCCTTCCCAGTTTCCACACAGGACACAACTGCAAATCCCTGAGACCTCTCTCTCTTCCATTATACTTCAAAGAAACTCTCAACTCCCACTTGCTTGCTTCCCTTTGCCCACTATGCTTTCCACACACCAACCTCCCTTCTCGCCTCAGGACGTCCAGCCCTGTTGTTCGTGTGGCACTGACACCCACTCCCTTGTCCCAGAGGTCAAACACCATCTCCTTGGAGAGGCCTTTCCTGAGCATCTATCTAAGGTAGCCACTGCTTCTCTCTCAGCCACTCTCTGGCAAAAATGTCCCTTTTAGTTTCCTTCATGGTATCAATCATGATCTGAAATTATCCTGTTGAGTTATTCACGATCTGTCTTCCCACGCTGGAGTGCCAGCCCCACGTGGGCAGAGGCTCTGTCCTGTTCACAGCCAAAGCCCCAGTGCCTAGTACAGCGGGTGGATATGCAAGGCCACAAAAGTGTCCTGGGAAGGGATGGCTGGATCTGGAAAGAACAAGGAGATGAACAGGTTGAAGATAAGAATGAGAAGTGGGCAGAGAACGATCCTTGAGGAGGTAGGGACCAAGGGGATAAACCCAGGCTACGGGGAGAGGAGGCGGCGAGATGAGGACAGATGTGGCTGTACCAGGGGACAGAAACAAAAACCATACAAGTATCTCTAAACACACAGGAGAAAACATCATTAAGATAATAAATGAGATATAATTTTTTACCTACCACATTAACAAAAATAAAAAGACTACCATACTTAGAATGGCAAGATTTAGGAGAAAATGAGTACTCCCAAAGACAAAAACTGGTATAACTTTTTTGACAGTAGTTTAGCAATAATGTATCAAAAATATGGAATGTACATAACCTTTGACCCAGCAATCTCACTTCTAGGAAATTATTCTAAGATATAAGAGTAGAAGTAGGAGCAGTAGTATAATAACAGCGACAATAATGGCAGCGACAGCTAATACTTACTGAGTACTTATTATGTGCCAGCCACTGTGTTAAATGCTTTGTATTATGTATCATTTAATCCTCAGAATTCAAGTATATTCTGTTAGCACAGCCATTTTGCAGATGAAGAAACTGAGGCACCGTGGTTTGAAGTAACTTGGTTATTACAGTAAGTTTGAAAAACTGGTGCAAAGGTGTTCAGAGCGTTGTTCTTTATTAAAATGAAAAAGTGGGAGTCACCTAAATGCTCATTCCTATTATGTATACGGGCTACATAATGGTGTATCAGGTACATTATAACAACTGATCAGAAAGGAGATTCATGACATATTTTTTGAGTGGAAAAAATAAGATTATATAGTGCAGTAAATTAAGGATGATCCTATTTATGTATGGCTAGAATTGAAAACATGTTATCTATTTGTGTGTATGTCCATGGAACAGTGTCTAGCAGGACATTCACCAATTAATTTATTGTAAATTTTTTCACATAATGGAGAAAATAAAGTAAAAATCACCTGAAATCCTGCCACTCAGAGATGAACAGTTTTGATAAATTGTTCTTCTAGGCAACTTTCCATGATCATATACACATAATTTCTTACTAAGAAAGCTATTCAGAAATTATGAAGCAACATTTCCCAAATTGTATTCCTCTGAACACTAGTGTAGTACGAGAGATTATTTCTTGCTAAAGAAAAAAAAAAACACAACAAGAATTATGTGGTCAGTAAGTTGGGGGAAACTCTGTATCAAACAACACAAAAGAGATTTCTCTTTTGCATGTGAACCTGCAAGACTAGGAGTAGGTGATACAAATACCCAAATTATTTGAACTTGGAAGGCATTAGGCCTTAACCTTCTACCACTAATCTCTGTTCCAAGCAGTCTGGTATATTCTTTTTTTTTTAAATGAGGTGTTTTTTTTTTAAACATTAATTATTTTTTGGCTGTGTTGGGTCTTCGTTGCTGCACGCGGGCTTTCTCTAATTGCGGTGAGTGGGGGCTACTCTTCGTTGCAGTGCGCGGGCTTCTCACTGCGGTGGCTTCTCTTGTTGCGGAGCATGGGCTCTAGGCGCGTGGGCTTCAGTAGTTGTGGCGGGCTCTGGAGCGCAGGCTCAGTAGTTGTGGCGCACAGGCTTAGTTGCTCCGTGGCATGTGGGATCTTCCTGGACCAGGGCTCAAACCTGTGTCCCCTGCATTGGCAGGGGGATTCTCAACTGCTGCGCCGCCAGGGAAGTCCTACTCACTGTTTTTTGAACACGCTTTTTGCTTCACTATTTACTCAAGAAATACTTGCTGAATTTCTGTATGTATAAAACATGGTGCGGTCTCCTTTTTTATTCTTTGCAAATTTCTAAATTGCATTGAAATCATGTTTCTTCCATGAATCCACCTCAAGTCTTTTGGGGATGTAGTGACTTTGTCCTTCAAGCTGAGCAAGTTTAATTTCTAATTTTGCTCATCTGTTTTACATGGTTGTATTTGAGAGGAAAGCGCAAATATTATACTTCTCTGAAGCACTTTACATACATGAAATTGTTATTGCTGAAATAAATTGAAGGAGGAAATAATTGACCAGAGCAATTATCTGTCTGGGAATTTAAAATTCTCATTGCATGTTCTTTCCTGAAGAATCCAGTGCTGTTTGACATTCAGGGCCAACTATTTCCATTGCCTATTGTAAACAGGTTTACTGACCTCTTGTATTTTTTCTTATTTTTACTAACACAATTCCCCCTCCATTCCCTTCCATTTTCTATCTAGAGTCTTAAACTATTGGTAAACCACTGGGAAAAAAAAGGTATGTGTACTTATATAAATTTATATACATCCCCATCTACTTTCCCAAAGCATTGGAAGTGGTTTACACTAAAAAAGAGCTAACAGCCCTTCTAGGTGCCTAGCACTGTTCTAAGAGCTTTAAATCCACTGACTCCTCAGGACAATACTATGAAGTAGGTACTATTATTTAGAGATTAGGCACAGTGTGGTTAAGCAACGTGCCTGTGACAGAAGATCTATTGAGTAATAGAGCCAAGATTACAGCCCAGGTATTCTGGCTTCAAAGCCAGTGATCTTCACCACTACTACACTACACGGCCTGTATAAAACCTCAAACCAGAAAAGTCAAAGGCCAAACGATAAAGGCTGAGGGCAGGTGGCAAGGAAGCTTGGTCACAGGAGCAGGGAAAGTTCCTTATGTACAAATACATAAACTTTGAACCGATTCTATGGAGGCACCTGAATTATGTGGGAAATCTTGAATGTCTTCCTGATTTTCAGGTAAAAATTTAAATTTCCTGAAACAATGTGAGGGCAGTCATACCTATCACTGCCTCATTTTCGGTTACCTAGAACAAAAACCAAAACTGGTGTAGAGAAAGTGAGGCTGGTCTAATTTTACTAAAGCTGAAAAGACTGTCTACTCCAAACACTGCCCTCCACTGACTTGTGGAAATGTTTAAAATACACAGCAATAGATCGTCAGGTAGGCTAAGCCACCAACTCTGGTGGAAAGTTCAGGTTAACTGTAAATTTCCATATTAAGTGTAACATGCTCCCAGAGTAGTATCTCACAACGAGCTGGCTTCATAGTATACCTGGTGAGTTACCTCGCCAGCAAAGGCTGTGCTTATTAACCCTGGTGGCACAACAGAATCACCTCGGGGGCCATTAAGAGTTACCAACGCCCAGATTCTACCCTGGACCAGTTAAGTTAGCCTCGGTGGGGAGGAGTGGAGGACGGGCATGAGTATTTTTCAGAAGCTCCTGAAATGATGTTAAAATGAAGTCAGAGTTACAAAATCTCGAGGGGAATGTGCTGTCAGGCACATATAAGGGGATATAGGAGCTCAGGAAATGTCTGAATTACAGGTGCTGAGACCCCAGGTGATGTCGTGAGTTAGGTAACTGCGTAACAGGGTTACATACAGGCTCTTGACCGTGTATGTTATCCTGCACCATCAAATGCTCAGTTAATATGAACTGACTCCTTATCCATGTCCTTTCTTTCCGCTGTGAAAGCTTCTCCCTTTTATCAACTGAAATGATCAGGAAAATACATATTCAGGCCTCACTGTTTGAACCTCTCCAAGAAATACTTTCCCTGAGGTTGACGTGAGAATCACTACATGAATAGCACCTTTGCATTTTCATTTAACAATCAACAATGAAGGTGTCCATTCTACGTGACTGAATGTTCTGCATGTAAATTCTGTTCTGCTGCTTAGTAGCTCTGTGATCTTGAGAAAGATCATCTTTCTGGGTCCCAGGTTCTCTCCAGTAAAGTGTGGGGGATTAACACAAAGGAGGCAGGGTTTTGGGGAGAATTAGAAGTAAATATGTAAATGAACTAGCTCAGAAACTGAAATATGTCATTGTTTTACATATTCAAATTTCAGGCAGTAATGAAAAATTAATATCTTTTCCTGAATAAACTTATAGTATGATGATATAGAATAACTATTTCAGTGATAAACTTCTGATTTGAAACCTTAGAAAATTAAGCTATAAAAACTGGGAAATTACTAAAATGCAATCAAATCTTAAGAGCGACGATACATTTTGGTTAGATGCCCAATGGCTCAAAAATTATGGAAATAAATTCAACAACGTACCTTTCCATTTCTTGTATAATGTGTTTGATGTCTTTTCCTAACTTAAACTTTTTCCCAAATGGAATATCGGAAATAATAACATCGACACTTTCTGGAGGCAATGGCAATTCTGAAACACAGAAATGAGAGAATCTGATGACAGTAAGTTCAAACATTTGCAACCTAAATATGAGAAAACTGAAGTACACTGCATTATTTTTGCATATTAAATAAAATTTAGGGTTGCTAATATTGTTTCTAAGGAATTACAAGATCCTGAAAGGCTTTCATAATCACCAAAGATAGATGGCATAGTTGTTGTATTCCGTTCTTTGAAAAGTATTGTTTTAGGCATTGGTATAATAAAATATGACATAAGCAGAATTTAAAATTAACCAGAAAATTCAACTCTTTAAACATATTACATGAATAGATAATTACTAGATCCAAGAAGAAATATATTAGGATGTCTAGAAAGACCTTTTACAAAATTACGTCCTATAACTTTCATTTTTCTTTTCATGATCATATATAAAATTTTGCATGATCTATTTGTTTTTAGAGAGGTGGCCCACAGCTTTCATTGTGTTTTTAAAGGAAACTCAAAGGGTTTAGAACATCTACTTAAGTCCTAAGACTAGAGAAAAGGCCAAACAATCAATAATCAACAAAATGAATATCATCTCTAAAACAAAATACAGTGTTTGATTATCAAATCTAAATTTCCTTCTCAACTTTACATCTTATTCTCAGAAATTAGGTTACCATAAGGTAATCTTACCTACACCCAATCTTAACTTCCACATTTTCCGAGTAAACTTTTCACTTTCCAATTATTTGACTTCCACCACCATCTAAACTAAGTTAGATAATCATTTTTATTTTGGAAAGCATCTAATTCTATAGAAGCGCAATAGAATTTAAATAGCCTTTACTATCTGAATACAATACAAATTTTTGTTGGCGGGAAATTTAAAAACAAAATAAAATATCCTGTTATCTGGGAAAGTCTAATGAACACTTGCTTATCTTTCCTAGTTCTGACCTTACCTGGGATTAGTAGAACAGCAGGCTGTTAGAAACAAGTAACGGGCTAACATTCTGTTCGGACTAGGCAGGAAATCTTTTCTCCAGGTCACGTTTTGACTTCCTGCCTTTGGTTTTAGGTTACTGATATGGGACACATCCATTTGAACACTGTTAACTATACTTTTTGTGAAACTACTGAAGACAATGTACAGACATGGTTATCAAACGTTTCTACATGAGGAACCAAGACTGAGCCCAAGTCTTTTGTCCACTTAAACACGCACATACATAAGTTGCCTATCTTCAGATTTGGTAACATTTTTCCCCTTCTGGTTGGTGTCTATTTTTATTTGCAACTTTTCTACTCTGTATCATATAATTTGCTGAACTGCTGTAAATCATTTTAGAAGCTGAAGGAATAAACTTCAACATAGAAGAGAGTAACTTTTTACAAAGTTCTAGAACTGAGTGGTGTCATCTTCCAACAGAACATAAAATAATCTGAACTTTTGTTGATGTGGCTTTCGTTGTGTAGTCTCTGGCGTCAGACAGCTTGCATTTGGCTCTGCCACTTACTAGCTGTGCGACTTTGGGAAATTATTGCTTCAGTTTTCTCATCTGTAAAATGGGATAAGACTACCCATCTCAGAAGTTAACAAGCGAGGAACTCATGGAAAGTATGTAAAACAGTGCCTGGCCTGTAATGAGCACTCAGTAACTGTCAGCTATTGTCATTATTTACAATGTCCTCTCTGAGGTGTATAAGGAGATGACAGCCAGGTGGAGACCAGTGGGTCAGAATCCTTCAGGGAAGCTCTGCAGAACCTCGCAATTCCTTGTCACAGCGCCTCAAAGGCCTAGGTGGGGCAACGACTTCCAGATGGGCCTCTTTCCAACTCACCTTCCCTTTAGCAGTGGTTCTCAAAGTGTGTCCCTAGAGAAGCAGCATCGCTATCACCTGGGAACTACAAATGTAAACTCTCGGGGCCCCCAGCCAAACCTGTTTAGTGCGTATCAGAATCGACTGAAGGGCTTTGGTGGAACACAGGCTGTTGGCCCCACCTCCAGAGTTTCTGATGCAGAAACTCCGAAAATCACGAGCAGTTGACCCGTAAGATTAAACATGCAGTAAAATCTTTTAAATTATTAAATGTTTAAACTGCCTGTGAAGAAAGAGTTTGTAATTAAGGAGATAAAATTCTGAAATAGAAACAGAACTCAAAACAAACAAGTAAAAAAATCATCTCTTTTTTACATCTCTGCAGGATGATTCAAGAACGTGAAAAAAATTTTAAAAGACTGGTATGTCTTGAACAAAAACTGTCCTATTTACTCCCTCCTTCTGGGAGAAAAATGAGTAAGAACTGCTTAAAACCAGGATTATGGCCCTAAGATGTTTTCTTCCAAAAGGTTTTAAGAGCCTTTAAGATATCTTTCTTTGTGTCTACTTAGACAAGAGACAAGGTAAATTGAGCACTTTTATAAAATTGGGCACACCCTTTTTCTATTTTCTTTAATTGTACTTTGTTTGTTATTCTTTCCATCGGCCAGGTTTATAACAATGGCATTCTGTCCTGTAATTCTCAGGTGTTCAAAATTAGTTGTATATTAGATTCAATCCTCATGACCATTTTACCTTGGCTTTCTCTACTCCTCAGTTGGTTCATCTCTTAAATATCTGGATTTTATTAAATTTTTTCCCTCTCAAAAGTGCTTATTAGTAAAATGTTGCCTGAACTTTTTTATATTTGAAAATACCTCTATACTAAAATGACATCTTGGTTGGGCGCGATATTTCTGGGTCCCACTTTGCCTCAGTAACCTTGTAAGTAGCCACTATTTCACTGGCTATTGCTCTACCACTTTCTGTTTCTTTCCATCATGGCCAGATTTTGAAGTTTATTGCGTTAGATTATGAGCTTTCCTTATTTGGTTGCTGCTGGTGAAATTTTCCCCTTTTATTCATACTATATTCTTTTTCTGATTGCATTAAATACAAGAGAATACAAATAGTTCAATGAAGCTGAAGTTTCAATCTGTCTTCTTAATCCAGAATGAGTCTTGAATGTGCAAAATGTAGTTTGGCATCTGGATCTGGTCACCATTTAATTTATAGTCCAAACAGAAATCTTTATTTATTTATTTATTCAAGTATAGTTGATTGAATGATTCAGGTACACAGCACAGTGATTCAGTGTTTATATAAATATACATATTCTTTTCCAGATTCTTTTCCATTATAGCAAACAGAAACATTTTTGAGAACAAAGAGGTTAGAAATACAGTTATATACTTTTTGAGATATTTATTGTCTAACAAATTGGTTTATTATTATGGTGAACCTAAAAAATAACATATCTAGCATAGTGAAGTTTTTAAAAAATTTTTTTTTTATTGGAGTATAGTTGATTTACAATGTTGTGTTAGTGAAGTTTTTTTTTGCGGTACGCGGGCCTCGCACTGCTGTGGCCTCTCCCGTTGCGGAGCACAGGCTCCGGACGCGCAGGCTCAGCGGCCATGGCCCACGGACCCAGCCGCTCCGTGGCATGTGGGATCTTCCCGGACCGGGGCACGAACCCGTGTCCCCTGCATCGGCAGGCGGACCCTCAACCACTGAGCCACCAGGGAAGCCCTGCAGACTTTTAATGATGGCCATTCTGACCAGTGTGGCATGGTACCTCATTGTAGTTTTGATTTGCATTTCTGTAATAATTAGTGATGTTGGGCACCTTTTCATGTGCCTACTGGCCGTCTGTATGTCTTCTCTGGAGAAATGTCTGTTAAGGTCTTCTGCCCACTTTTTTGATTGGGTTGTTTTTTTGTTGTTGAGTTGTATGAGCTGTTTGTATATTTTGGAGATTAAGCCCTTGTCAGATGCATCATCTGCAGATATCTTCACCCATTCCGTAGGTTGTCTTTTTGTCTTTTTTTTTTTTTTATGGTTTCCTTTGCTGTTCAAAAACTTGTAAGTTTGATTAGGTCCCATTTGTTATTGTTTTTATTTCTATTGCCTTGGGAGACTGACCTAAGAAAACATTGGTACAATTTATGTCAGGGAATGCTTTGCCTATGCTCTCTTCTAGGAATTTTATAGTGTTGTGTCTTATGTTTAAGTTTTTAAGCCATTTTGAGTTTAATTTTGTGCATGCTCTGAGGATGTGTTTCAACTTTATTGATTTACATGCAGCTGTCAAACTTTCCCAACACCACTTGCTGAAGAGACTGTCTTGTTCCCATTTTATATTCTTGAAAGGCTTAAACATTTTTAAACCTACCTAATGATGGGCAAGCAAATAAAGCGTGTACTGTCATGCTGAATTACTTTTTTTGCATTCAACCATCTTTATCACAGATAGCCTGCAGTTCAGTTACTCTGCGTATATTAAAAATTTTTTTAAAAAGTCTGTTATTTTGATAACTTAAGTTTCTATTTCAATTCAGAACATCACAGCTTGTTTGGAGGTAATTATGAATTATGTAGGTACCATGTCAAGTTCCAAGTACATTTCTGCTTCACAGGTTACTTTATTTAATAAGAACATTAATTTTCACCATGATGCTGTGGTCCACCAAATAATGCATAAACAGACACACATGCAGTGCTGAGCTGAATTTACAGTAGCATTCAAAATAATGAAAGATGTTTCATCTCTGACAGAGAAAACTTCCTAAATTTCCAAGAATTGGGGGAAAAAAAAGCTAAAGCACTACTGGAATTGACTTAGCTGATCTTCTTTTTGAAGCATCTGATAACACTGATACAAAAATGGCAACATTTACCTTTCTGCAGAGGTCTTCTGCTAATGGACCCAACATATTAATAGCTATAGCTTCATTTTATTTATGTACATAAGAAAATTTGGAATTGAAAACGAGCAAAATTAATTTAGAAGAGTGGTCATTTGATCTAAATGAAAAGTCATGCTTCACAGAGTGATAGTTAAATGCAGTTCTTTCAGCTGCATGTGATAAATACTTAATTTTGGCTCAGTCTCCTTAAAATAATGACTAAGTTTTGAAGTAAATGCTAGATGCTTCTAGGAACAGATTTGTTTCATTTGATTAGTGCTATCCTCATGGCCCTCACAGTGGATGATAAAC